TCTCCTTCCTCTCCTTCTCCTCTCCTCCTCTCTCTCTCCTTTCTCTCCTTCTCCTTCCTCTCCTTCTCCCTCTCCCTCCTCTCCTTCTCCCTCTCCTCTCCTCCTTCCTCTCCTCTCCACTCCTCCTCTCTCTCGTCTCCTCTCCTCTCCAATACTCTACTTTTACATGGAAGGAGTAGAAGAGTTCTGGGTGCATCTGCTGCTGTCTCTCCGGTGCTCACAACCTGAGGAACATCCCGCAATTAACATTTCTGGGCAGCCGGCCCAACGCTGGGAGAAAACAAACTCCACCGTGAGAGCAGATTGGAGGACAATGTGCAGTTGTTGTGTTGTTGTCCAGCCAGGTTCAATATGGCCGCCAGCCGGGGCCACTCGGCCCTAAATGTACAGCATTAAAGGGGAACTCCACGCGCAACACGCAACTGCAGCTTTTTCATTGCACTCTCCTTTCCCCTCAGTGTGCCACCTTGTCGGTATATGGCCACGTTGTGTCCACGTTCTCCGAGTCTTTTTTCTCTGCATAGTTTAAAAAAAAAAGATCAGACTGTACATTGTGACTTTGTAGAAGGGGGAGGAGGCATTTCCTCAGTCTCCCCTCCCCCAGTGATCAGACTGTACATTGTAACTTTGTAGAAGGAGGAGGAGGCATTTCCTCAGTCGCCCCTCCCCCCCCAGTAATCAGACTGTACATTGTAACTTTGTAGAAGGAGGAGGAGGCATTTCCTCAGTCTCCCCTCATCAGACTGTACAGTAATCAGACTGTACATTGTAACTTTGTAGAAGGAGGAGGAGGCATTTCCTCAGTCTCCCCTCCCCCAGTGATCAGTACTGTACATTGTAACTGTTTGTAACCAGTCAAGGGCTGATCTGTGTCAGACATTTGTGAACACAGCCAGGAACAGACACCAGAATATTCAGGATTGTGTTATCTCTCAGCCACCATCTCATTCCAGGAAGTAGAGGGTGACCCCGGCTGATGCCGGAACAAAGGTGGTGCCGCCCTTCTGGAGAGGAGATCAGATGGCGGCATCTCACCTCTGGGAGGGTCTCACAGACTCATTTCTCAGCATGCTGTATTTATGATCGATCTGATAACCAATCCACTTGAAGTTCCTAACAATCAATAGCGGAGTCGGGAGAATTGCGATTTGTTGGTTCTATTGCGGCGGGGTGCAGTGTGGGGGGTGCAGCGTTTGGGGTGCGGCGTGGAGGTGCAGTGTGGGGGGTGCAGCGTGGAGGTGTGGCGTGAGGGGTGCGGCGTGGAGGGTGCGGCATGGGGGGTGCAGCGTGGGGTCAAGACTTGGGCTGTTGGGGTTTTATTCCAAGTGCAGGAGTCCGGGACGCAGCCGCACACGTAGCATGCGTTGTGGCAGAGCAGATTTGGTCGATCTCCAGATTCTGGCGATCTCCAGATTCGGACAATCTCCAGATTCCGGCGATCTCCAGATTCGGACGATCTCCAGATTCCGACGATCTCCAGATTCCAGCGATCTCCAGATTCGGATGATCTCCAGATTCGCGATCTCCAGATTCCGGCGATCTCCAGATTCGGACAGCGATCTCCAGATTCCGGCGATCTCCAGATTCCGACGATCTCCAGATTCCAGCGATCTCCAGATTCGGACGATCTCCAGATTCCAGCGATCTCCAGATTCCGGCGATCTCCAGATTCCGGCGATCTCCAGATTCGGACGATCCACGAGACGATTATTTCGGAGGTGACCCGGGAATGGTGGGATTCAGGACGACTCTGACGAGGGAAGTAAATTTGGCGGCTAAATAGATGAAGAAACAAATGTATGTTGGAGGAGAACGAATCGCCGTCCTATTACAGAGAAAGTCGTCTAGGTCAGCTGAACGGGAGAAATCGCTGCTTCCAGCAACTTCCAGCCACGGCTCAGCGGCGCGCCTCTGATTGCACAAAGACCTTCTATAAAGCTTTGATTTTCCGGAGAAATGAATTCAGGAAAATACTGGAACCTGTTTATTTTCTCACCTGACCCCCGTGATCCGGCCCCGCCGGCCGTCCCCCGAGATCGCCTCATTGGGTCAATTAAGAAAATGTGTACAGGAGCTGCGCTGTGCGGCCTCGCTGCTCGCAATCCCCGACGCTTCACACCGCGTGACAAATACTGAAACCTGGCGCGCCGCCATCTCCACCAACATCGACCCCTTCATAGGAAATGATCGACTTTCCACACTCCCGGGGGGAACGCTTATCATTTGTTACATTCGCCTTTCATTATTATTATTATTATTAGTTATTATAGTATCAATATTACTCAGGATTTTATTATTATTTTATAGTATCAATTATTACTCAGGATGTTTTATTATTTATTATTATTATTATTCAATAATATGTTTTAATATTATTATTAAAGTAATAATAAATATTAAGGATTTTTTTTTTATTATTATTATTATTATCATCACAATAATTAGCTATTATTATAATAACAAATATTAACTAAAAATAATAATAATAATAATAATAATAAAAAAAATAATCCTGATGTAATATTGATAATAATAAAAATAATAATAAAAAAAAATCCTGATAATATTGATACTATAAATAATAAATAATAATAATAATAATAATAATAATAATAATAGATCCTGAGTAATATTAATTTATAAATACTAAAGAATAATAATAGTATTATTATTATTATTTTAGTTTTGATTTTTAGTTTAATAGATTATTTAATTTATTTATTATTGTAACTAGTAATAATACTATTATTATTTTAGTTTGGAGTATTCTTTTAGATTATTATTAAATTAGTTATTGTTATTGATATTGTTTATATTATCATTATCAATAACAATAATAACTAATATAATAACATTACTACTACTAATAATAATAGTAATATATTAGTTATTATTGTTATTGATAAATAAATAATCTATTAAACTAATAATCAAAACGAAAATAATTATAATAATACTATTATTATTCTTTAGTATTTATAGTATTAATATTACTCAGGATTTATTATTAATATTATTAATTATTGTTATTAATGTTTATTATTATTATTATTAGTTGTTATTAATATTTTTATTTATTATTATTATTATTTAGTATTTATAGTATTAATATCACTCAGGATTTATTATTATTATTAGTATTCTTATCATCAGCTATTATTGTTTTATTATTGTTATTCATATTATTATTCATATTATTATTATTTTAGTTAATATTTGTTATTGATAATAATAATATTATGAATAACAATAATGAAACATTAATAGCTGATGATAAGAATACTAATAATAATAATAAATCCTGAGTAATATTAATACTATAAATAATAATAATAATAATAAAAAAAACATATTAATAACAATTAATAATAATAATAATAAACATTAATAACAATAATTAATAATATTAATAATAATAAATCCTGAGTAATAATAAAAATAAAATAATAATAAAAACTACAATAATAGTAATAATAATATTATTATTAGTTATTATTGTTATTCGTATTATTATCATCAAATAATATATTATTATTATTATAGTTTTGTATAGTTTAGATTGATTTTGATTATATTAGTTAAAATTGTTATTGATAATAATAATAATAATAATATATTGATGATGAATAATACGAATAATAATAATAACTAATAATAATAATATTATTATTACTATTATTGTAGTTTTTTTATTATTTTTATTTTTATTATTATTTTTTTATTATTATTATTAGACTTTGCTCAAACAAACAGAGGAATAAAATGTTATCTCGCGTGTCTCTGGAGAACTGAATATTACATTCCAGCAGAGTAACACGGAGTTCCTTTTTTCCATTCATCTTCATTTGTAACTCGCTTGTTATGAAGGAACACGGCTCCATTGTGTCCGCACTTCATCCATTCGCAGAGATTGCGGATCGGCCGGGTCCTACATACAAACACAGAGATTTCTTCTACATTATTTGTCCAATGATAAAAAGAGATCAGAAATCCCAGCCTGGCTCCTCCCATATCTCCGGGAATGGAGGATTCTCCGCTCTGCAGATTAAAGTGTTTAATATTTCCGTCCGGCCGAGAAATTCCTCGACGATAAATCCTCCTTCATTGTAGTAGAGGAAGATTCTGAATGCGGCTTATAACACCAGAATCTAAGGACCGATACAATGTATCCATATATATGAATGAAGGACCGATACAATGTATCCATATATATGAATGAAGGACCGATACAATGTATCCATATATATGAATGAAGGACCGATACAATGTATCCATATATATGAATGAAGGACCGATGCAATGTAAGCATACTCACTATATTGCCCGCAGTATTAGGCCGCCGCCCTTTCCCCCACATATGACCTTTAATGGCCCCCCAGTCTTAGTCCGTAGGGTTCAATATTGACTTGGCCCCGCCCCACCAAACCCAGACACGTCCATTGGATTGCCAGACAGAGAAGTGTGATTGGTCACTCCAGAGAACACGTCTCCCCTGCTCTAGAGTCCAGTGGCGGCGTGCTTTACACCCCGGCATCCAACGCTTTGCATTGCACTTGGTGATGGAAGGCTTGGATGCAGCTGCTCGGCCATGGAAACCCATTCCATGAAGCTCTCTATGCTCTGTTGTTGGGCTCATCTGAAGGCCACACCAAGTTTGGAGGTCTTTAGCTATTGACTCTGCAGACAGTTGGTGACTTCTGCGCACTGTGCGCTTCAGCATGCACTGACCCCGCCCTGTCATGTGACGTGGCCTACCACTTGGTGGCTGAGTGGCTGTTGTTCCCAGTGGCTTCCACTTTGTTATAATACCACTAACAGTTGAGCGTGGAATATTTAGTAGCCAGGAAATGTCACGGATGGACTTATTGCCCAGGTGGCCACCTATCACAGGACCACGCTTGGAGCCACTGAGCTCCTGAGAGCGACCCATTCTTTCACCAATGTTTGTAGAAGCAGTCTGCATGCCTAGGGGCTTGATTGTATACACCTGTGTCCATGGAGGGGATTGGAACACCTGAATCACATGATATGGAGGGGATTGGAACACCTGAATCACATGATATGGAGGGCATTGGAACACCTGAATCACATGATATGGAGGGGATTGGAACACCTGAATCACATGATATGGAGGGGATTGGAACACCTGAATCACATGATATGGAGGGGATTGGAACACCTGAGTCACATGACAGGGAGGGGATTGGAACACCTGAATCACATGATATGGAGGGGATTGGAACACCTGAGTCCCATGACAGGGAGGGGATTGAAACACCTGAATCACATGATATGGAGGGGATTGGAACACCTGAATCACATGATTGGGAGGGGATTGGAACACCTGAATCACATGATTGGGAGGGGATTGGAACACCTGAATCACATGATATGGAAGGGATTGGAACACCTGAATACCATTATATGGAGGGGATTGGAACACCTGAATCACATTATATGGAGGGGATTGGAGCACCTGAACCACATGATATGGAGGGGATTGGAACACCTGAATCACATGATTGGGAGGGGATTGGAACACCTGAATCACATGATATGGAGGGGATTGGAACATCTGAACCACATGATATGGAGGGGATTGGAACACCTGAATCACATGATATGGAGGGGATTGGAACACCTGAATCACATGATATGGAGGGGATTGGAACACCTGAATCACATGATTGGGAGGGCGGGGCCAATACTTGGTGTATATGAATGAAGGACCGATACAATGTACCCATATATATGGTGTGATCTCTCGAGCAGCACAATGGCTAAGTGGTTAGCACTTCCACCTTGCAGTACTCAGGTCGGGTCGAGTACCTGCCTGGAGTCTGCATTTTCTCCCTGTGCCTGTGTGGGTTTCCTCCTGCACTCCAAAGACATGCTGAGAGGTGAATTGGCCCCTGTCTACATTGGCCCTAGTATGTATATGTATGAATGTGAGTTAGGGACCTTAGATTGTACGCTCCTCGGGGGCGGGGACTGATGTGAATGTACAATATATATATAAAGTGCTGCATAAATTGATGGGCTGTACAAGTACCTGGAATAAACAAATCTCTGACGTCATCCCGCTTGCGGTGCCTGAGGTCGGCATTGGCCGGGATTATTTATACAAAGTTTCAGGTTTCATTTCTAATCTGTACGATTGGCTCCCGGCCTGCAGATGTTACGTATTCCGGTGTGGTGGGCGTGACCCGCGCCCGCGCTATAGACGGCTCTCTTGCCCTTCGCTGGCCATTAATATGTTCCGTCCCGCGAGACGGCAATCAGAACGAAGTGCAGAGTCAGGACGCCGCTGGCCGCTGTATTATTGAAGACACGAAGCGTGAAGTGAATCCCGAATGAACGTTCTGTAGTTCAGTCATTTGTCCCTTTTCTGTTTATTCACCCAAATGTCGGTGAATTGTGTCTGACATCACCTGCTGATCAGAATCCACCAATCGAGTTTTATGATGATCAATCGCTCCGCCCAGAATATCTCCCCATATAGAATGTCATTATAGAGGCGGCTGTGTGCTGATCCATCTAATGAGCATTAAATCTTCCCTCCGGCTCCTCCCCTTCAGTCTTGTACAGGTGTACTGGCTCCTCCCCTTCAGGCTTGCACAGGTGTACTGGCTCCTCCCCTTCAGTCTTGCACAGGTGTACTGGCTCCTCCCCTTCAGTCTTGCACAGGCGTACCAGCTCCTCCCATTCAATCTTGCACAGGTGTATCAGCTCCTCCCCTTCAGTCTTGCACAAGCGTACTGGCTCCTCCCCTTCAGTCTTGCACAGGTGTACTGGCTCTTCCCCTTCAGTCTTGCACAGGTGTACCGGCTCCTCCCCTTCACTCTTACACAGGTGTACCGTCTCCTCCCCTTCGGTCTTGCACAGGTGTTTTGGCTCCTCCCCTTCAATTTTGCACTGGTGCCTCGGCTCCTCCCCTTCAGTCTTGCACAGGTGTACTGGCTCCTCCCCTTCAGTCTTGCACAGGTGTACGAGCTCCTCCCCTTCAGTCTTGCACAGGTGTACCGGCTCCTCCCCTTCAGTCTTGCACAGGTGTACGGCTCCTCCCCTTCAGTCTTGCACAGGTGTACTGGCTCCTTTCTTTCAGTCTTGCACAGGTGTACTGGCTCCTTTCTTTCAGTCTTGCACAGGTGTACTGGCTCCTTTCTTTCAGTCTTGCACAGGTGTACTGGCTCCTCCCCTTCAGGTAAATATAAGCAGATTAAAGTTCATCTTATCCTTCAGATCCGTGAAGACCCCTGGAATCCCGTGCCTCTGATGCTGCTTCCCTGAACTTCGGTTCATTAGAAGCTTTCCTGATCCACCTCTTTCCCTGGCTGGAGGAGGCCCAGCCATCTAGCACTTTTCCTCCCCAGCCTGACTGTCCCTGACCCCGCCCCTTTCATTTATTGGATTATAGTTCTTTGCCCCTGGCCCTCAGCTTACCCTGTCCCCTGACCTTCCCTGAGCCCTGAGTCTTTCCCTGCTATGTTCGCCCCTCCCCCAGCCATGATCTTGCTTGCATTGTATAGAGAAGCACAGAGACCCAGTGATTACATTAAGGTCTGTAAGGAAGACAGGGTTTTATTTAAAAAATGTCATTTCATGTAGATGAGGGGGGAGGGGAACTCCCTGCCCCGGGGGGGAATCGGGGAAGGTAAATATACCTTCCCTGCCCTGTTCTTCCCTGCCCCGGCCTTCCCTGACCCCGGCCTTTCCTGATCCTGGCTTTCCCTGACCCTGGTCTTCCCTGCCCCCTTCCCTGCCCCTGACCTTCCCTGCCCCTGGTCTTCCCCTTCCCCCCTGGCCTTTCCCTGACCTTCCCTGCCCTGGCCTTTCCTGCCCCTGGCCTTCCCTGCCCCTGGTCTTCCCTGCCCCTGGCCTTCCCTTCCCTGCCCCTGGCCTTCCCTGCCCCTGGCCTTCCCTGCCCCTGACCTTCCCTGCCCCTGACCTTCCCTGCCCCTGATCTTCCCTGCCCCCGGCCTTCCCTGCCCCTGGCTTTCCCTGCCCTGATCTTCCCTGCCTCCGGCCTTCCCTGCCCTGATCTTCCCTGCCCCCGGCCTTCCCTGCCCCGGATCTTCCCTGCCCCGGCCTTCCCTGCCCTGATCTTCCCTGCCCCCGGCCTTCCCTGCCCCTGATCTTCCCTGCCCCGGCCTTCCCTGCCCCGATCTTCCCTGCCCTGGCCTTTCCCCTGGCCCGGCCTTCCCTGCCCCCCTCCCTGCCCTCCCTGCCTCCGGCCTTCCCTTTCCTCCGGCCGTCCCTGCTCCTGGCCTTCCCTGACCCCGGCTTTCCCTGACCCCCGGCCTTCCCTGACCCCGGCTTTCCCTGACCCCCGGCCTTCCGTGACCCCGGCTTTCCCTGACCCCCATCCCCCCCCCCCTTCCCCGGACTTCCCTGCTCCCAGCATTCCCTGCCCCCGGCCGGCCTCCGCATGGCTCTATTTATATTCCCTGATCTTATTCTTGTGAGTTTTTTTTCACTCTTCCGAAGAACTGAGATAAGATGACATCACTCGGGTCGGCGAGTTCGCGGTGACCGCACACCATTCGCAGTCTGAACACAGCGCGCTATTTTGGAAGTGATCGATTGCCTCGAACAGTCGTTCCTGATTTTGGAACTCGTTTTTCTAAGAACGGGTCAGTAATGGGGGTCGGAGGCGGCCCGAACTCTGCGGAGTAGCAAGAATATTCGATGTCAATTACAGACCATATTAAATCACAGAGATTCCAGGCCGGCCCCCTGCGGAGCCCCCACACCTCGTTTCCCATCTGCAGGACCCCCCCAGTGTCAGCACTCAGCTCTGAGCTCCACATTTTGTATATAAATCTTTGACTTGACATCAAAGTCGTCCGTACATCAATGCCCCATCGAAGAATCAATACCCCATCGAAGAATCAATACCCCATCAATGCCCCATCGAAGAATCAATACCCCATTGAAGAATCAATACCCCATCAAAGAATCATCAATACCCCATCAATGCCCCCATCGAAGAATCAATACCCCATCGAAGAATCAATACCCCATCAAAGAATCAATGCCCATCGAAGAATCAATACCCCCATCAAAGAATCAATACCCCATCAAAGAATCAATACCCCATCAATACCCCATCGAAGAATCAATACCCCATCAATGCCCCATCGAAGAATCAATACCCCATCGAAGAATCAATACCCCATCAATACCCCATCGAAGAAGAATCAATACCCCATCCCCATCAATCAATACCCCATCGAAGAATCAATACCCCATCAATACATCATCGGGGAAAATAGCTGAAGATACAAATCACTGCAGAGGATATTCTACAATCTGAGATCAGTGAATTCATCTGTAAAACTTTCTCTTATGTATCGTTTTCTGTCACTTTAGCAGGAGCGGACTGACAACTCATGGGGCCCCGGGCAATAGGGGATCATGGGGCCCGTGTCCTTGCTCATACCTAAAAAATCCTATGAAAGGTACCAGGGGCATCTCATGGGGCCCCTACTGACCCCGGGCCCTCGGGCAGTGCCCCAGTGTTCGATTGGTCAGTCCGCCCCGGCACTTTAGTGATATTTTGGATATAAATGTAACATTTTGTAAGTTACATAATAAATCCATTTACACAGATATTAGTCTGGGGTCATAAAGAGAGATTGGCCCTCCAACAGCAGGACGGACAGGGGCCCGAGATCCAGAGCTAGGACAGTGTAAGCCACAGATATAATGGTTACATGGGAAAGATGGGACAGAACACAGAGAGGGGGGAGAGAGAGGAGGGGGGGGGGGAGGAGATGGGAGAAGAGAGGAGGGGGGGGAGGAGAGGGAGAGAAGAGAGGAGGAAAGGAGAGAAGAGAGGAGAGGAGGAGGGAGACAGAGAAGGAGGTAGAAGAGAGGAGAGGGAGAAAGGAAAGGAGGAGAGAGAGGAAGGAGGGGGGGGGGGGGGAGGAGGAGGAGGAAGAAGAGAGGAGAAGGGGAGAAAAAAGGAGGGGGGGGGGGAGAGAGGAGGGGTTTATGAGAGGAGGAGGGAGAGGAGAGGAGGAAAAGAGTGAAGTAGAAAGAAGAAAGGAGGGGGGGGAGAGACAGAGGAGAGGAGGGGGGAGAGGAGAGGAGGAAAAGAGTGAAGTAGGAAGTAGAAAGGAGAGGGGGAGAAGAGAGGAGAGGAGGGGGGAGAGGAGAGGAGGAAAAGAGTGAAGTAGGAAGAAGAAAGGCGAGGAGGGGGGAAAAGAGAGGAGAGGGGGAGAAGAGAGGAGAGGAGGGGGGAGAAGAGAGAGAGGAGGAGAGGGGGAGAAGAGAGGAGAGGAGGGGGGGGAGGAGGGAGACAGAGAAGGAGGTAGAAGAGAGGAGAGGGAGAAGGAAAGGAGGAGAGAGAGGAAGGGGGGGGGGGGGAGGAGGAGGAGGAGGAAGAGAGAGGAGAAGGGGAAAAAAGGAGGGGGGGGGAGAGGAGGGGTTAATGAGAGGAGGAGGGAGAGGAGAGGAGGAAAAGAGTGAAGTAGGAGAAGAAAGGCGAGGAGGGGGGGGAGAAGAGAAGAGCGAGGTGAGGGGGGGAGAAGAGAAGGAGGGGAGGGGGGGGAGAAAGAGAAAAGGGGAGGAGGAAGGGGGGCAGGAAGAGAGGAGAGAATGCCCCGCCTCTGTCTGCCCTGCATAGATAATGAAGGGGGCGGGGCTGTGACACCGTGGTGGATCATTTCTTGGATGTCTCTCAGGGTGGACACAGACGGAACTTTTTCTTCCACCAAATTGAGAAAAACAAAACTCATCTGCCGCCGAACCCCGCCCCCTCCGCGTCTGATTGGCTCGGTTGGGCCTCTCCTGTGCGATATTACATATTGTTGATGGATGATGTTTCTTTGTCACTCGGTAAACATTTTGGAAATTTCGCCGCGTTTTATTTGCCGCAGTTTATTATCCTTTTTTCCTTTCGCTCTGCCGCAGTTAGTCCCATCTGCCGCCGTCCTATCAGGGGCGGGCTCGGCGGGTAACAATGTAACATGTCTTCATTAAGTTTACAGACAATAATAAAATGTCTTGGGGCTGCTGACAGGATCTGTTTGTCTGCGTTTCTGCGTTTTATTCTTTCGGCGGGATTGGTATTCTTGACGCAGCGCGTTCTCTCATTTCTGGCGAATATGGTGGCGCATCAAGTCATAAAGTGTCAGCGAGAGGCGGGGAGCCGCTAATGGAGGGAGAAATTAGTTTTATTTCTTGCAATGATGTCGCAGTTTTACTGTAAATCTCACGCCATCTGCGTTATCGCCGAGTATTTAATATTCCGCTTTGATGCCGCCGCCGGCTGTAAAATGTTTGTTATAATGCACAGACTTTTAGGATTTGTTATGGTTTTAAATAAAAAAAAACGAGAGGTGAAAAAAACTGAGAAAAATGGCGCTGCGACTGACATTCGTCATTCTCGCAAAATGCACTAAAAAAAAGTTCCAGAAAGAGGAAACCTAAAGAGGAACTCCGGACAGATACAGGAACCACCAGATATGAGCGCAGCCAGAGCTGAGGAGACGGGTAATAGGGGCAGCCAATCCAAAACCGACAGCCCACCAGTCACTGCACTCCAGTTACAATGTACAGTCTGATCACTGGGGGAGGAGACTGAGGAAATGCCGCCTCCTCCTTTTACAAAGTTACAATGTACAGTCTGATCACTGGGGGAGGAGACTGAGGAAATGCCTCCTCCTCCTTCTACAAAGTTACAATGTACAGTCTGATCACTGGGGGAGGAGACTGAGGAAATGCCGCCTCCTCCTTCTACAAAGTTACAATGTACAGTCTGATCACTGGGGGAGGGACTGAGGGGCCTCCTCCTTCTACAAAGTTACAATGTACAGTCTGATCACTGAGGGAGGGGAGACTTACTCCTCCTCCTTCTACAAAGTTACAATGTACAGTCTGATCACTGGGGAGGGGAGACTGAGGAAATGCCTTCTCCTCCTTCTACAAAGTTACAATGTACAGTCTGATCACTGGGGGAGGAGACTGAGGAAATGCCGCCTTCTCCTTCTACAAAGTTACAATGTACAGTCTGATCACTGGGGGAGGGAAGGCTGAGGAAATGGCCGCCTCTCCTTCTACAAAGTTACAATGTACAGTCTGATCACTGGGGGAGGGTGACTGAGGAAATGCCTCCTCCTTCTACAAAGTTACAATGTACAGTCTGATCACTGGGGGAGGGGGGGAGACTGAGGAACTTGGGGGGAGGGGAGACTCCTGGCTCCCTTCCTTCTACAAAGTTACAATGTACAGTCTGATCACTGGGGGAGGGGAGACTGAGGAAATGGCTCCCTCTCCTTCTACAAAGTTGCAATGTACAGTCTGATCACTGGGGGAGGGGAGACTGAGGAACTGGCTCCCTCTCCTTCTACAAAGTTACAATGTGCAGTCTGATCACTGGGGGAGGGGAGACT